CGGATTAGGATTTCCGGCCAATTCGAGATTTTCGTGGCCAAATTTTCATCGATTTAGTCAACTCTTTATTGTAGTCCATATATGATTATATAATTAATCCATGATAATTCTATGATTTCTTTTGCGTGATGTAAATTTAATGGTCAACATAAGTTCATACAGGGAAAGAGTATCTCAATATTCACAAATTGATGAAAAAAATAAAAGTTAATAATGTAGTACCCTCATTTCTTATTGGATTCCTAAAAAACAACATTTATAATGAATTTTAATAATTTTTTCTGATTTTTTTGAAGCTTTAATCCAACCGATTCAGCTGATTCTCGATCTGGATCGCCGATTCACTGATTCGGATCGGTTTTTAAGGTGCCCGATTCGGGTCACCGATCCGCTTTTTAAACCATTGCTTCCAACACATAGGAGTTTGGAATATAGGAGAAATATTCGAGATTCAGAAATGGATGAAATTACCATCTGCCAAGATTCATCCAGAAGGTTTAAGTGAAAGGGAGTAATAGAGGAAATACAGTGGTCTAGCAACCAGAAGCTTCAGAAAATTCCCTTGTAAATATGTACACTATAAGTTTTCTTGAGGTTCATAATGTACCTTTCCACCATGTGGTAGTGGAGGAAGTCATACCATGCCTGGATCTCAACATTCATATGACAAGCTTGAAAGCATAAACCATTACTATAACATGGGATTATAATTCCTACTTGACACTAGACGAAGAGTGTTGGGTTTTGTGGCCTTAAGGCCCTAGATTTCGTATTATCCCATATGGGTACTCATGTAATTAGTGTAAAGAAAAGCAGACATCCCAGTTTTGGGGGCATGAAGTAGTCCATGCGGGACCAAGGTGCCCTCTGGCTAAAAAAAGGCCATAGAAGCAGCATGGCAAGAGTGCCAGTGAACTCATGTCAAGCTTGGAGGTCTAGGTGTTGGGGCTGATTGAGTCAAAAAACCCATGACAATGGGCCCAGAGGGCAAAAGGTCCATACCTGGTGACTGTTGAGGGTTAACAGGCCATCCCTTCTCATGGTCAGAGTTAGCTCAATGGTTAAAGTGAGTTCCCATGAAACTAAATTGAATTAGTGAATGCACTACATTAGTTCCCTCAGAAAAAAGGCTCTACATTAGCAACAGAAAGAAAACAAGCATTTGCAGATAAAAATAATTGTAAACAAAAGTAATAAATGGACCAAAGCTTTTGTTCAATCCATTACCTCATTGACAGGGGCCTCATTTTCCCGAATAACTGCATCATGGGCATCTATCTCTTGCCCAAACTCTGTTTTTAATAGATCGCCCGAGTTCCCAACAACTGCACATGTCCTAAACTGACGGGAATAGAAAGGAGGCCTCGATGGCAAAATTAGATTTAGATGTTCCTCGCAAAGAGATTTATTGTAGCACTTTTTTGCTCCCCTGTTGCAACAAAAATCCAAGGGGCTTACTTACCATTTCCAAACACATAGTTTGCAGTAACAACAAAATTGATGGGAGAAAAGAATTTGCTCAGCATCTTACAATTGCGAAATCCTCTGTGCAGCGTACTCTAGCCACCCATTAGGCCGAGCATCTAGATATTCCCTTGTCAAAATCGTAGTCATGTTACGGTACTGCAATTATTTACCAAGTAAGTTCACCCAAGAAATCCAGAAAACATGTTCCGAGACCGTTTAAGAAAGTAAAACTATACCTGTTCCCAAAGTAAAATGGTCTCGCAAACATCAAATGGGTATTCCAGAGGTTCATATCTTTTAAATTGCACATTGTACTGCAACAAATGCAACACAATGAAGACTCAGACTGGCATAAACCACAGACTGAATTTTACAAGAAGGAAACCTTGAGCAATAAGGAAGATGTCTCACCCACGTGCTGTTGGTGTCTTTTGGGAACTTAAGCACTAATTTACAGTGGTCAATAACGTGTGCAGTGAGTCCAAGGCCCTTTGTTGCCTGTATCAAATTAATGCTCAGATGTCAGTGAAGCAGAATTCAATTCCTTGGAACCTTGCAGCTTTTAAGTCTGGTGGTTCTTCTGGCTGCCAGGTTCAAGGTCATACAAAGAAATAAGGAGAGAAGTATGCACACGCAAGCGCACATGTTCACATACTATCTGAATAGGCCAATTTGACCAATTATAGGCAAACAATAAAAAACAACAAAATAGCATCCAATCATTACAAGCTTCCAAAATTGTTGAAAGCTTCCCCTGATTTGCTGATTCAGCCAATAATCAATTAGGAGTGAAGTGATAAAACCACTGTCATGTGAAGTATCCTTCAAAAATGTGTCACATCCCAATTCACCAGATGAAAAGAAGCCACTAGCAGCACAAATCTGAACTCGGAATCAATTGACATCATTCAACATCCCTTATATCAACTTTAACAATAGTCCATGCACCACTTACAATGATTCTAATGGTTATTTGATGTAGTCCATGGACCACTTACAATGATTCAGCTGATTAACTGAAAACCACTACATTCTATGTCAAACAAATACACAAGATCCAATGAGTATCCAGATCACATCAAACCCCGACTCCCAGGATATTAACGACAAAGGCACTTCAAAGTTCAAATGTTTGAAAACCTATACTATTATCTAAATCCTTACCATGAAAATGTGCATATTACAATCTCAAAACATAGAATCCAATAACCTCGTGCCAGCAAAAGATGATTTCTGTCTAATTCACAAACCTCAGTGAAGTGCTGAATCTCTATCATGAGCATTTGGACAAAAGCGCATCATACTAAACTCATCCTATCCTAGTTATTTACTCTAACTCCAAATTTGATTACTCAGAATAGATGATGCAAATCCATAACATAAATAAATATTTCAGAAAATTCTAGTCGCAGGCGATTCAAAGGAGCAGGCCAAATTTTAACAAATATCCACGATACCATTACTCTGCAATATTAATAAAGTAACTGAAAGCATTAAGAAATACTAGCACCATGGAGAAACTAGAACACTAAAAGTAGAACGACTAACCACACATTGCTGGATTTTGTTCTGGAAAGCGAAAAGATCAGATATATCCCTGCTGGTGACACCATTTTTGCCAGCCCCTGTATGAGAAATTTAAGTTTTATATACAAAAGAAAGCAAGATAGAGAGAGAAAATAAGCCAAAAGAGATGGAGAGAGAAAATCATTACCGCTGAAGAATGTGGATTGGATAGCGAGGATGACGATTGAAGAAGTGAGAGCCAGAAATAGTAATAGAAGTACAGTGGGAGGCCTGTTGAGGGCCTTGAGAGGTTTCATTCTCTCTCAGGAGATGAGCTCCTTATCTGATGGATCCAAACGCAAATGAGAGAACAGATGCAAAATAAGCGGTGGATTTACAGCTGACTGGCCCAAGTCTAGGCAAGATTCACCGTGGGAACCCTCCAGTTTCAAGCCCACATGGGACCGACCGGCTCGACTTTAAACTCTTAATTGCAGGTAGCTAAAGAACCTCCTGCAAAATGATTTCCTAAAAAAAAGAGAGAAATTTAAGGTTTAGCTTAGGTCACGGTTTCTATAAGTTCATGTAGAAATGAGTCGCCTCTTAAAAATCTATTTTTGAAATGGATTTTTTACCAAATTTTTAAGGATACGGAGTCGCAAATATGGAGATCATCAATATCAAAAATAAATAAATTTTGAAAATTAAAAATAATAAGGAAGAAGTTTATATAGAGACTAGGCTCTAAACAATCAAATTAAAGCCTACCTCAAAAATTTCATTAGAAGAAGTCGGTTTGATATCCAGATATCCTCAAATTGATCATCTTGACGTCAAAATGTATGGACATGAGAAAAAAATGGATTTCAAGTTTTGGGAATATTGCATCTTGTAACGTATTTTGGACCGTCAATTTTCAAGATTTTCAAATTTTTATAGATATGCTTGATCTACACTATTTTTTAATCTTTAAATTTTATGATTAATGACGAAAATATATTTTAAGTCTATCACAAAGATTTCCAATATTGAAACCACATTTCTTGATATTATTTGAAGGTGCGCTCTAGTTTGATTGTTTAGAGCTTCAGCTCTATGCAAACCGCACCCAACTAATAATTCTATTAAGAAAACATCTAGACCGCTAATTTCAATTATTTTCAGATGGACCATCTATTTGCATCCATCTTTAAGATTGATGCTTTACATTTGCGGCCCCCCGCCACATGAAACAATTTTGCTTTAACTTATGTATAATAAGATTTGGATAGTGTTTCATAAGGATCACAATTTTGAATATTATTGTGCACATGAATAGTATTGTGCAAATGAATCAATGTTCACAAAATCGAACCGGAATGGTTAACCGAACATGGGCCCAGAAGTATTTTAACTGGCATAATCAGTAAACCAGTCGATTAAACTGTTCTAACCGAGCAAATCCTGGGCGATCAAAAAATGTTGAAAAATAAAAAGATACAAAAAAAGGAACTAACAAAATATGAAAGGGAAAAGTTTATATAGAGCCGAGGCTCTAAACAATCAAATTTGAGCCTAACTCAAAACTTTCACTAGAAGAGGTTGTTTTTATACCCAAATATGCTCAAATTGATCATCTAGACATCAAGATGCATGGACATGAAAAAATAATGGATTTCAAGTTTTGGAAATAGTGTATTTTGTAACGCATTTTTGGACTGTCAATGTTAAAGATTTTCAAGTTTTCATAGATATTTCAATCTACACTATTTTTGAAGCTTTAAACTGTATAAATAAATACGAAAATATATTTTAAGGCTATCAAAAAAATTTACAGTATTGAAACCACACTCCTCATCACTATTTGAAGTAGGCTCTAATTGGATTGTTTAGAGCCTAGGCTCTATACGACCACACCCAATATGAAAAGCATATAAAGAATGAATAAAACAAAACACATTCAAATAGAGTTGAAAATTAATGAAAAAATGGATTTTAACGAATCAATTTTTGAATTAAAATAAGTATTAATGACCAAAACAAAACCAAATTCCTTATTTTTTTTAAATATCGGTCGAGCACCAAAATCGCCTAAAACTGGAACCAGCAAGTGGCCTGTTCCGATTTAATCAGGCGGTCAGCGGTTAGATCGCCTGGCTTTTCTAACAGTGAAATGACTAGTAAATGTAAGTGCCAACATAAAAAATAAATGTACAGTGAATGCATAGGTGTCACTTATGAACAGTATTATTATGCTAATAATATAAAATTATGAATAATACTATTGTGCTAATAATATAAGGTCATAAACAATATCAATGAGCTGCCATGTTAAAATACTATGCTACTATGTGAAAATATTGTGCTACCACGTGAAAATGCATATCACATTTTATAATAGTAAGTTTTCAATTATAAATAGCCAATTGTTTTTCCCGAAAAGCAGAGAGTCAGATGCTTCTCTCAGTTTCCTATAAATTACAGGAAGTATTCTAGTATGCTTTATCTCTCACATTTTGGCAATGTAAGGTTCCTGTTATACAATAAATGAATACAATAAATCTCTCTCTTGTTTTGGTTCCCTCAATCTTGCGTATTATTTTGGCAACACCAAGATATGAGGAAGGTATTTTGTAACACTACCCTTACGTTGCTTTTGTATAATATGTGATAGATCAGTGTTCCCGATCGATGTTTAGCTATACTATACCAATTGGATGACAGTTTATAGTAAGAGAATTTTATTTCAGAAAATAATATCTTTGTAGTGAGAGAAAAACCTATTTCCAATTGAAATTTGTGATATTATAGTAATTGGAAAAACATATCAGTTTTATAAATTGTGATTTTGTATATGTCTCATGAGTATGCAACTCAAATATTCAAGAAATATATTATGATCTATCTGTATCCTAGGAGTGTACTCGCCAGGACCCGTTTGCACCTCGAAATTTCATTGAGACGGAAGCGTTTAACCCTTCGAAGAAAGAGAGCGTATCTCTTGCCTCCAAATCCTTTAATTTGGTCTTGATAGTTTGAAAGATTTTATCCACTATAATATATGAGAACCCAAATTAACCAACTCCGATGGGCGTGATTTAGCAGTAACATTTACAGGATTTTGCCAGAGAGATCATTTTTTACTTTTTTTTATGACCGATGGTGGAAGCCTCTTTGTTAACTTTTCGATCCATTTCACCAGGTTACAGAATGGAAATTTCCTTTTTTCTCAACATAAAATTATCATTACTTATTAAGTATTGTTACCTTTGTATGTACCTGAAATGAAACCTATTATATGGAAGAGGATTCCATATGCCCATGGGCTGATGGCTACAGTAAACGCCCATGGCCCAAATTGAATCTGAGCCGATATAACGGTCATGACCTCATTCGTATTTAAATTTTAATGTTTTTTTTACAAACCCAAATCACTTTAAATTTAGAAAATTCATTATTCTCATCAAGGCACACCTAATAAAAATATAAAACAAATAATTCGAAAAATATAAACTGACCAAAATACCTTCGAAACATTTCGGGAGTATTTTGGTCAATTTATATTTTACGAAATTTTTTTTATATATTTTTATTAGATTTTACTATTTTTGAAGAATAGACGCCTAAAATTTCAAGTGATTTAGATTTGTATAAAAAAAATGAAAATTTAAATATGAAATGAGATCGTGACCGTTAGATC